ATGTGGAGTGATAGGAACTCTCATACACTGTTGATGGGATTGCAAAATGGTACAGCCACTCTGGAAGGCAATTTAGTGTTTTCTCAAAAATCTGAACACAGGAATTTTATATGATTCAGCTATTCCATGCTAGGAATTTACCCAGAGGAATTAAGAACTGAGACACAAATGGACCTTTGTACACCAATGTCCATAGCAGTGTTATTCACCATTGCAAGAACATGGAAACAGCCAAATGTCCAACTACAATCTAATGGATTGAGAAATTTTGGTACATTCACACAATGAAATATTGCACCGCACTCAGGAACATCAATTAGAGAATTATTACTTAACTTGAGAGAGACTAGAGAGCATTATGCTGAGTTACTAACTCAGTCTCATCAAGTCAAACATTGCATAAGAATAGTATTGTAAAAATAGAAGGATTACTGATAAAACAGGTATACAGGTATCCAAGGAGGGAAGGGGTGGGAGCAGTAAGGTAAAGATGAGCAGGGGGGAAATCATAGCATTGCACAATTTGGTGGGTAAAACGAGAGGGGATAAAGGAAATGCTAATGATCTGGCGGCAACTTGAAAAGGTGGGATAATGGTGGGTATAATTCAGTGATGATAAGTTTATAAAACAATGTTTATGAAGGAAAGTATGAAACACAATATATATGAATTTTGTTTGCAAACCAATATAAAATCAAAATACAAAAAATGTTGTTGTTGTTATGTGCCATCAAGTCGCTTGCGACTTATAGCAACTCTCTGTACAGCAGCCCTGAAACCTGTTCTATCCTGTGCCAACTTTATTGTCTGTGATACACCTACCCTCATTACCCTAGTCTTTGAATCAATCCATTTCATCAATGATATCCCTCTCTTTCTCTGTGCCTCCAACCTTACAAGTATAATGTCCCTCTCTATGGACTGGTCCTTCCTTGCAAAATGCCCAAAGTATGTCAGACAAAGCCTAGCAATCCTTGCCCTTGCCTCCAAGGAGTAGCCTGATTTCACCCTCTTCAGGATGAACCTGTTTGTTCTCCTGGTAGTCCATGGTATCTTCAACACTCTTAGCCAGCACCACAGTTCAAAGGCATCAATTCTCTATAATCCCTAGTAAAAGAAAATAAATAAAATAAAATAGTTGTGCCTTTCTGGTGATTGGAAATCACCAGCAGTTTCTTAAGAAAAAAGATGGATGATCTCCTCCTGTGAGATTTACAGCTGAAAATCCACTGTAGAACAGCTTTAAGTTCCAACTTGATGCCAGTGAGAATCAAATTTATATATCTATCTATCTATCTATCTATCTCTATCTCTATATCTATCATCTATATCATCTATATCTATATCTATATCTGTATTTATATCTCTATGGCATATAATAACAACGTATAGATTTATATATATA